ACTGATTTGACCTTGTTTTTGACCTCCCTGTGACGTCACAGGTCAAATATCAAGGTCATCAATATCCAATCTTGTGCATCTCGATGAGCTCTTTCGAATGCTGTTTGAATTTGTCCGATCCGGCTATTGGTTCCGCAGATACGACGGGAGGCCCTCGCCCCCCCCCCCCCCAACAGGACGTGGAACCTGCAAGACCTCAACGGGGCACGGGTTAATTAATCTTACAATCCTCATTAGGATTATCCGTTGTCAACGACTTGAAAATATTAGGTATTCACTACCATAAAACAAATGACAACATTGCCTCAATTAATATAAAAACAATTATACCTAAAATAAAGAAAGAGATTTGTCAGTGGCGGAGAAGGCAATTAACACTGGTCGGAAAAATAACTGTAGTTAAATCTCTTTTGGTGTCGAAGCTAGTACACGTCTTAACAGCTCTACCGAATCCGAGTGAGTCAACAATTAAGGATTTAAATAGTATTTTGTTCCGCTTTATATGGAACGAGGGACCAGACAAAGTAAAGAGAACCACATTAGTTAAAGACTACCATGAAGGGGGCTAAAAATGATTGACATTCACTCCTTTTTAGTGAGCCTAAAAACATCCTGGCTCAAAAGACTGTACTGGGCATCTGCTAATGTCACCTGGGCAAATCTGGCACGAGAAAAACTGCCCGTGCTTGAAGATCTGGTATGTTTTAGCTCTTTAAAACTCGCGCAAATCGCCAAGAATTTGAACAACAACTTTTGGAAAGAAGTTGTTCTAGCGTGGGCGAGCTTCAGTAAAGCGTACAAACCCAACGACAAAGAAATACTCACAGACTATATTTGGTTTTCTGACATTACTAAATTTAAGAAGTCTATTGTGAGGGAGTGGAATGAAAAAGGGATTCGATTTGTATCAGATTTTTTCAACGCTGGTGATGGGTCATTACGTAGTAAGGATCATCTGACATCAGCATTTAAAATAAAAATGACCTTTCTATGTTATGCTTCTATAGTCAGAAGTTTACCGTCTAGCATCGCGAGTTATTCCACAAATAGGGATAAAGAAATTGCACACCCCATCCTTCCGTACAAAATAGCTTTATTGTCCACCAAAACTCAACTGAACCAAATAGTATACGCTACGTTGGTAAAAGCCATAAAAACAAGACGAAGCTCAGAATTATCCAAGTTAGAACGCAAGTGGAACAGAGACGTTGGGCAAATGTTTCTCGGCTCACTCTTGGATGTACGGTCTGCCACGCGTAATAGCTATCTGCAGACCCTACACTATAGAATTGTTAATCGCATTATTGCTACAAATTCCTTTTTATGCCGCATTGGTAAGACCGACGACGCTTCATGTGCTCTCTGCGGATGCGATATGGAATCTTTAATGCACGCATTTTACAGCTGCGATATCGTACAAAGCTTCATTAGCGAATTGAAAAGTCACGTACATGAAAAGTATAGCATAACGTTAGTTACTACGGCAGGCCGCTGGTTTTTCCCGCGACACGACTTAGAATCTAGCATTAACATATTGATAAAAACAGTAGCCAAGCATACAATCTTACGCTCAAAGACCTTAAAGCGCCCCCCAAATATTCACCTTTTCACTTCCTTACTAGCAGCTGAAGCATTAAAAGAAAAAGGAGCAGCCCTGAGGAGTCGATGCTATAACAAATTTGAGAATAAATGGGGGAACGTCATTAACATATTACAAGACTCAGACATACCATCAACCAACTGAGCCTCTTTCCCATCACTCCGGGTCCAAGCTGACGTGCTGCCGCCGCCGTCGATGCTGCTGTCGCCGCCGGATGGGGCCAGCTGCCGCTCCCGTACCCTCCGTCCCGTCCTGGCCGCCGCTGTCGGGCCGTCGGGCCTGTGCCGCCGCTGCGCCTGTGGCTGTGCTCTGTGCCGCGATGGTGACCGTGTCGGTGTCCGCCGCCATCGCGACCCGTTTTTCGTGCCGCCGCCGCTGTTAAGGTTGTGCTCATGTGGGTACTGTATGATTTTTATGCGCGTTTTTGTCCTTTCTTTTGTCTTTTTTCATCCTTTGATTTTCTTTCCCATTTACTTGGCCGCCCTGAGGCAATAATCGCCTATGCGTGTGTACGTACGCGTGTGTGTGTACTGTGTACACTACAGAATCCTCGCCTCAGACGGAAGCACTTGCAGCGCGCTCCACAAATGGCAAATCTGGGCAACTTGCGCGTGCCGTTCTTTGTGATAGATGCCGTTGCCTGCGATGCAGTTTTGTGAAGTCTGATTGTGAGCGCGTCTATATAATGTAAAATATACGAAAAAAAACGTCAAAAAAAATCTTACAATCCTAGTTGTGCGTACATACTTTACAGACTGCATGACTGTTAACAACGATGCATTTTCACTCCTTGGTTTATTGATAAGATTTGAAACGGGTTCACTGTTTGTACCCGTAATTTTCAACATCTATAATTTATGTTATTCACGAATCACAAGCCCAAAAAAATTTGGCTAGCGGCCAATAAAGTGGGAATGCTGGCTGAAAAAAATGCATCTTTGAAAGGTAATCAGCAAAATGTGGGCTTACGCCAAGTGGTCGACTATTCGAACATGAAATGTGTTAGAAAGCCTTTGCTGGGCGTGTTGTTCAGCTTCACATTATTGCGCATCGGTGATATGTTTTGAAAACGCACGCAGGGTTGCTTTTGTTGATATTTCATTTCCTGTAAAATGCTAATTCAGCGAATCATTTTTTGCGCTGTTTAACCCGGCAGGCGGTAGGCCTCCCGGCCACCTTCCACGCGGTGGGGGAAGGCATTTTTTTGCCCTCCCCGGTATCTCCGAAACTCTTTATTAAGCGTAGTCCGTGGATTTATTAAGCGAATTTAGTAACTACTGGTATCTATGTAGAAAATCCGTGAACAGCTCAAACGGCCACAATAAGCGGCTGGATTTATTATCCGAGGATGTATTAAGCGGATTCTACTGAATATCGAAAAAACTAAGGGGGCAAAAAATGCCCCCCCCCCCTGTCTGGAAGCCTAAGCCAACAAAATATTCTAAGGATGTAAGGAATCTCAGGAAATAATCCGCGTATTCCCCATGGCAACTCCCATCAATTGTAGACAAGCTCCTTTCCCTGCAAGCGCTATGTAAGATTGTCGAAAATCAACAGTAACACTATTGCTCAACTCCAGCAGTTTACCTATAACTGACCATATCTCAAGGTATATTAGGGCTCGTTGCACCGTGTGACAATTGGTTTCAAACTGTCAGTTTGGTTTAATTATTGTGAGGATCGGCCTGACCTTTGACTATTTCATGTCATGAGTTTATAGCACCGATACTAAACGATAAAACCACGGACCTGCAGCGGTGAACGGTACATCACTTATGGTCTAATCACAGCACAATAGGGTCTTGGCACGACGGTGTACGCCGTTCCAACGAACTGGAGTGATTTGAGCATTAACAATGCATATGTGCTTTGTTGGGGTAGAATGAGAATAAGTATAGGCCATTTGATACGTCTATGCCGCGTTTGTGTGCATTCGATGATCGATACGCTCGTCAAGGTCTCCGAAATGTTTGAACGTTCTGTAGTGTACGTGCCGGGCGCTAGACTACCGGACGGCGCTCAAATTTAGCGATAAAGCTACGAACACTATTGGGCAATAGCCGTTACGGCACTGGCGCTCTAAAAAAGGCAACAAAAAACAGAGACAATATCATGGCCAGCATCAAGGCTCAGCCAACGCACGGTAGGCCGAGCTTGTTGCTCAAGGCCCGGCCTTTTGCCATCCGATCGGACAATTCGACTGTGCAATCGCCAATCGGGAACAGTGTTGTATCAAAGTTGAAGGGACCCTCTCACCTTCACAAAAGTTAATGAATTGGCATAAAAGTGATGTCCCTTGGTTCGGAAAGATCAACAATGAATGTCCACCAAATTTCACCGAAAAATATTCACTGGTTTTCCAGATATTAGGCTTTTACTTTTGTTTTTTGGGATCTCCGCTGTTCCTAGCGACTTATTTGGAACCAATAATTTGGCAGCCTCGAAGTGCGGCAGACGTTGCGTGCAAAGCACTGTATAGTGTATACCACCACGTGTTAACCTTCCAGGCGGTGGGGGGGGGGGCATTTTTTTGCCTTCCTTTAGTTTTTTTTTATATATCTCGAGAACCGCTGCGCCGATCGTCACCAAACTTTTAGTACCCTCCCGGAAGCAGCTAGCGCACATGGTGACCAAAAATTTTTCCAAAGGCTTTGATAGGTTGGCCGCTAATGACGTCAGAGTGACGTCATTTTTGCCATTTTCGACCCAAAAAAAAGGTTTCGCGGGAAGAGCTGTCAGGCCTACAGCTTTAGAGATACAGAAAAATGTTTCAACATTAAAGGTGTGGAATTAAAAGGGCTACACAACTGCTATTTCGGTTTTTCGAATTTTTTGGATCTTGACCCAAAAAAAATCAAAAAATAGATTTTTTGAATATAATAGCCAAAAAATCCAAAAAGTTTTTTGAATTTCGAAAAAACTGGAATATATGTGATAGCCCCCACCGCCTTCTATCTACATACCAAATTTGAGATCGATACCTCTTTTTTTGGCCAAGTTAAAGCGAAAAAACTGTTCAAAATTGATGACGTCAAATTTTCAAACTCAATTTTTAGCAATTCTCAACCTCATAGCGCAAAACAAAGACCACCATTAGACTCCCCGTGACGAGCTGCATCGAATCGATACCCATTTTATGCAAAAATATCAACTTTGAAATTTGACCTTTTTTGACCTGACCTTGACCTGACCTCCACCAGAAAGTGACCTAAACCGTACCTGATGGTCTTATAACCAACACCATTGAGTTGGAAATGAAAAACTGGCCATAAAACATGCATCGCCATGGTGTGTCAAAAGTGGAAATAGCCGGTGCGCCGTCTGGCAACCGGGCAGCCCGCCGCCATAGGGAAATTCATGCTTTTTGTCGCTTTTTCGCTCCCTATGAGTCACTTGATCTAACTAGAGCTTAACTAGGAACGAGGCGGGTCACTTGGACGTATTCGGGAGCCGAATACGGTGCTTTGGAGCCAATACCTGGTAAACCCTACCCGCCCAATGCGAGTTTTTAAGAGTCTACATGCCCAAATTAACGTTGAGCGCGGCCGTTTTCGGTCGGTTTTACCCGACCTTGTGGCGAAATCGCCTTATTTATTCAACCAGGGTGGGCTAATTCGCTTAACTAGGAATGAGGCGTTGAAGAGAATTATTCAAGGAATAGAGCTGTGCAAAAATATTTTTTGTATTGTTAAAACTGTATCCGCCCTCGAACGATAAATATTGTTGACCCATCAGAAACACATCACCTGGAATGCGTTTGGACTTGGCTGGATCTAATATTAGCGAGTATCTGCTAATGCAGTTTCTTGGCTTACATAGTACGGGCACAAGCATACATACTTCCTGCCCTTGGTTATTCCTCACTTGAATGAAAATTTTGCTATAATAACTATTCCAAGCAGTTAACAGGTTTTAGTGCAGTGCCAATGGGGATGTTCGGCTTATTTCCTCGCCAGGTGGCAGCACTGCCTTCTTTGGACACAGAAACTGTCGCGGCGAATGCGCCACTGTGTTTTGCACTGTGTGGAGTCCGTGCGGTGTCGGTCCGAGGGACTGAATTTCGGTGAATTTGATAGCAATTGATTTGAATATTGCTCAGATGAGTTGTGAATTTATATTCAGCAAGTGTCACAAACATGGAAAGGCAAGTTTACAAAGGACAGGAGACTTAGAAAGGCTTCAATTGACGTAGCCGAAGAGAGGCGAGAAGCCGAAGATAGACCGACTCCAAACGGTAATTCCATCGATGTAACACGTTTCCCGACATTTTTTATGGCGAGCATAACTAAGAGTATAAAATAGTCTAACTTAACTCATAGCTGGATCTTGTATTGCCCATATGAGGTAATTTACCTGTATAAGTTTATGGGCATATCAATATAGGAAATTGACCTGCCCTTTGAGAAAGGCATTACAAGATGATACATGCTGCTGAGAATGATTATATAAATTCAATGCATTTTTATAAGATTCATTGCAAGCAATTTAGCAGTGTTCTACTTTGTCTGGTACCAAATATGTTGCATGCAGATAAAGGTTATGATGGAAAAAGACAAATAGGATCTATTTTGACACCAGCAACCAGGAGGTATATGTAATAGAACACTAAGCTACCTACTATTTATGAATTGTTACAAGTATTGATCATCCTACATGGTGTTACAGGTGCCCAGTGCAATCATGCTTCTGGTGCGGAGTTGTCAGGATGGAGCCCAAGGAATCAAGGAAGGCAGAGGACCTGCGTATGAAGGAACCAGCCCTGCGGATGAAGTTCTGAGGTGCATACAGAGGGATCCCACTGAAAGACCAGGTAGGAGTCGGCAAACAGCTTGTGCACTGCAGTATATCATCCAGAAGTAACTGATAGCCTTTCTTGCGAATTGTTTTTTAACTTGTCACCACCTAAAGCTAGGTACTCATTATTGATATAATATCTTCATTTCATCAGGTAAATAATTGTTTACTCTAAGTTTTGATTCACACTGAAGTGAACACTATTTTAGAATATTCACTCAGCTTTTTTAGGAACTAAATACGGGCAAGTTTTTTGTTGTTTTTTAAAATAAATTTTCATCTTCTAGAATATTTGTATAGGTAACTGCAATAAAAGTGCATTTCAAAATTGCAAATACTTTGTGTAAAGTTCATGGGTCTTGATGATGTCACTGTACCCAGTTCATCATATCAGATTTCAACTGTGCTTAAACTGCAATGTTTTGCTAATTGCTTCAGTATATAATATCCTTTTATCCATGCATGTTAAACATATGTATCTCATTATGACTTGCCAATATCTTTCCCTACTGTCTTATGCCATTTTTCATTTATTCACAGGTGCAATGCTGCATTGATAAGATCCAGATTCAAGAGCATGGATGCTACCAGATCCTGTGATTTGAAGTTACCAGTGTCACTGCTGCTACAAATGACATCAGCAACACTTCCTTTGGTGAAAGTTTAGAGGAGCAACCAGTTGGTACTCTGTGTAGTCAAGCAGTGGAGTTTTGCCACAATCATGAAGTTGATTAAAGTGTCAATTTTTGCTCTGGCTTCTGGGACACCTTGGATCTACATTGCAAGTTGCAACCTATGCTAGTGTTCAACATTTCGTGTCATAGTATCACTGATGCAAAGCGTGTTGCATCATACACAAATGAGAGCCAGCAAATTGTCAGATATTTTCTAGTGATAGAGAACTGCATGCCTTAAGCAATTGTTGAAGGTGATAAGTGGTGAATGGTAGGGCTCAGCCATTCAGCTCCTCAAAAGCTATCAATCAGCTCTAGAAGAGTAGTCATAGCAATGCTTCATATGTGAAGGCTACTTGCCTGAACAGAACATTGTGGATTTGTTAATTAAGTACCTCTTTATTACAAGTTTGTGCCCATTACAAGCCAAGCTTAGTTTACTTAGTTTGTTGCAAGTTTTCCAGGCAGTATTCACACTTGTGTCGCTGAATATTAAACTTTAACTGATAGACCGACGAGATATTGTCCCTTTGGCATCAGATTGTAATCAGTCAGTCGTGTTGGTAGAAGGTAAAGTCTGTCTTAAAAGTACCGCGCAAAGTGACGGTGGATCCATCAAGCCTGACCGAGGAAGGGCCTGCTATAATTTGAAAGTCACCGAACCAATTGACCTGGGGAACGGACGAGGATGTCATATAGAGCCACGCAGAAATCGCCGGTGATTCGTTGCCCATCATTACAGAATGAACGCATGCCGGATGAAGGGTTTAGTCAATAGTCTGTACAAAATACAGGGATGTGATTGACTTATCTGACAGTGACGAGCGCTAGAGGTCAACTTAAGACCATAGGTATACGTTCTTGTCATGGAATGTGTGCTGTAAATCGATTGTTTCATGCGTGTGAATATATGTCTGAATGTAATAAGGTTTTTAATTTCAACTGTGTAAGTTAAAATATGTGATAACATCGTATCTTTCGTACTCCGTAGCTTTTGGTGACCATTCGATCAGCTCCCTTTCCTTCCGCTCAATGACGATGTAGTAGTTTGCCTTTCACACGCGTCATTGTCTTCCTAATATCGAAATCAACTGTAGCTACTCATTTTAGCAAAATGATGAACCTGAAAAAGACATGAAACGCAGTTTCCGTTCGCGGCGCGTCGGCCGCCGTCGCCGCCCGCAGTGTTATCCCCGGCCCGGCCGGCGCCCGGCCGGCGCGTTGTGTCCAAAGCATACCGTGCTGCCACCTGGCGAGACTTTTCGGAACTCTTAGCGCGAACATCCCCATTCGGAACCGTTCAGCGCCGCCAGTCTCCCAGGCGGCGCGTAATGGCTGCCGCCGGCCGCCGCGCCGCCGCCCTGGCAGGGTGTTTGACTTCATATCTCTGTTGCTAGAAAAGTTGTGGACCGATTTACTTGATTCTTGCATGAAAAGATCCGCCATTCAATTCTTAGCAGACAACGAAAAATTGACGTCAATTGCACGATCCGCTGCCCATATTGTGGTACTGCCATCTATTGACAAGGCTGGCGAACTAAAGCCGGGCGGCTATTTCCACTTTTGACACACCATGCATAACCTTAATAAAGTTGGGCTCATGTGGTGACCCTTGGTGACCTTTGGTGACCTGACCTGTGACCTGACATGGTATGACCAGTGACTTCTAATAGCAACATATGTACTAGACAACTGACGCCTTATCGCTGATTTTCGACAAAATGCGTTTTACTCGGTGTTATAGCGATTTCCCTAGAAGCTCCGTGAACGGTGAAACATTTTATCTTTGACCTGACCTATGACGTCATCGGTGACCCCGAGGTCAATGAAATTTGGTTTCCTGTAACAAATTTGACAGGGCTATCGAACGCCGTTTGAATTTTCCGGATCCGTACAGTAGTTTCGGAGATACGGGGGGGGGGGCAAAAAAGTGCCCCCCCCCCCCACCGCGCGGAAGGTGGCTGGTAGGCCCACCGCCTGCCGGGTTAACGATGGTTGTAGTCTGATATTCAGAAATCGTTAGATCTCCGCTGACGTCGCAAATTCTAAGGGGGCATTCCAATGCATTAGCCCCTTAGAATCCGAAAACCATGCAAGTTTGAAATTCCAAATCTCCGAATGAAAGCATTTTTCGATGTTGTGAGTGCCCAAACCGGTATTTGCAGGCCATGGCCACCAATTTGGCTATCTCAACTCAAAACAAATGTTAAGGTGGGATGGTCACTTTAAGCGAGTGCCCCTCAAGCCGGACACGGCGTGTCCCACTCAACTGACTTCAACTGGCTGCGGCTGTTCTCGCCTCTCACCAACTGCAGCCCATCTCCGACAGAAGTGTCATGTAACACATACGGAGAGCCAGTGCGACTCGAGTCCGGACTCGCGCCACCAGGAGTCCCGGACTCTCACCACCAGGAGTCAAATATCTTACCAACCGACTGAGCTAAAAGACGGACCATATCACGGACCGCGACGAACCTCCGCTGACAGCTCTGTCAATCTGACAGTCCGTTAACACTCGAGCTAAATTCGTTTGAAAAATATCTCTTGTCCCCAGTCGACAAGTATGCCATTAGAGCATTCCTCAATATTAAATATTGTAATGGACACTGAATGGGTGTCATACTGAAGTTTGGTGATTGGAGTGCGGCTACGTCCCATATATCCCCGATAGCCGAGTGGGTAGGGTGTCTGGACGTTTGGCCGGCGTGATCAGTCGGTGGTTGCCGGTTCGAATCCGGCCCGGTCCTTTGCTTTTGTACCGTGCGCCGAGTTTGTGTCCGTGCCGCGCTGTGATTGGTCGTGACACCTGACCCGAGGTCACGACCGGTGCGTGCCGGCGGTGGCGGTCAGTTTTGTGCGTGGCGGTGGCCGGGTAAGTGCGGGGACTCCTGTGAGGGGGACTGTTTGGGGAGGGCTCCTGTCCCGTCCGCTGACCGGTGCTGCTGCCTGGGTTGCTCCAGAGGTGCTGCCGGGCCCAGCCATCTTGCCGCTCTGCTGCCCGTGTGCTGTGCG